GAGAGAGAGAGAGAGAGAGAGAGAGAGAGAGAGAGAGAGAGAGAGAGAGAGAAATCTCCATTTCAAATCATCTTAATGCCTACGAAAGTTAATTAAAGATAGGGTGAAGATATACTGCAGTGATAGAGTGGTTTTTTAGCATGTACAAGGCTCTGAGTTTAATCTCTATTATGTGGAAACAAAGAAAAATAAACAAACAAACATTACCATTACCCAAAGCAAAACAAATAATGCTTTGAAAAACTAAGAATACAGACAAGCAAGATAACAGTTATAATAAATAACTGAGAGTCAGTATGGAACCAAGTATAAATATTGAATTCCCCTTTGATTTCCATAGTGGTTAGTGCAAATATAACTTAATAAACACCGGGAGGAGTAGGCAGCTGGGTTTCGATGAGTTCAATGTGAGCCTGTGTAGCACTGTGAGTTCTCGGTGAGTCTGATTGTTACTCAAGTACAGATACACGAATGTCTTCTGACGTAGATTATTCACTGGAAAATGAAATAAATAGATGAACAAATGTTTTCTGAGAAAATTGTCTTCATAGAAGTTGGTTTTGAAGTTCTGAAATTTGAGTTTGAACATTATATGGGAGGCAATTGGAAGTCATCATGGAAAAAGGTATTTTAGAACAGGAAATTTTTACAAAAAGTCTTTAATCGCCAATGAAGGGTTCATTAATGACATAATAAATGGGGAAAATGAATGACATCAGAAGGATTTCTAAAAATAGGGAAGCTACATTAGTGCTGGGGTAGTCAAAATATCATTTGAATGTATATGTAAAGAAGCTTTGTCCTATAAACTGTTCATGGCAGTCACATGAAGTTGCATCTGGAAGGACTAATGGCATCTTTAGTCATTCATTCTGTTGGTTCTTTAGAGACAGGGTCTCACACTGTAGCCCAGGCTGGCCTGGAATTTGAGGTGTAGACCAAGCTGGCATGAAACTCTGCAATTCATTCCATTTCCTCGGACACCGGAGTATAGGTTGCTTAGTGTCACCTTAATGCTGTTAGTTTGTATACAATATATTGTTCTAGAAAGTTCTGTTCTTCTTAAATATACATACTCAGCAAAGAACAATATGATCATTAAAATAACAGCATGAACTAAAGTAGAATTAGAAGAAACACAAATGTGTTATACCCATTTCTTCTCGTATTTAGGCAATAATTTAATGGCTTTAATTTTTCTTTGTATTGAAAACAGATTCTTCTCTCATCCATGATCACAGTTTTCCCTCCCTCCACTCTTCTTAGCTCAGCCCCCATGGCTCTCCAGCTCCACTCACTCTCCAGAGCAGGCCTCCAAGAGAAAACAACCAAACATGACAAAACAAGATACAACAAAATAAGGCAGCACACTAGGAGGAAAAGAGTCCAAGAACAGGTGAAAGAGTCAGAGATCTACACTCCCACAGTTAGGAGTCTCACAAAACACCAGGCTAACAGCCATTAACACATATGCAGAGGACCTGGTACAGACCTAGGCAGGCCCTGTGCTTCCCACTTCGGTTTTCGTGAGCCCATGTGATCCCTGCTCAGTTGATGAGCTGGGCCATGTCCTCCTGGTGTCCTCCATTCCCTCTGACTTCTTCCTCCTCTCCCCAAGGTTTACCCCAATCTTCAAGGAAGAAGACTGGAAGGAGACTCCCAGTTTAGCCCCTCTCTCTGCATAATTTCTGCTTCTGAGCCTCGGCACCTTCTCCCATCTGAAGCTGAGGGAAGCTTCTCCGATGATGACTACACAAGGCACCCATCTATGAGTAAAGTAGAACATCATTAGGAGTCATTTCATTGATTTTTTTGGGGGGGGGGAGTTGTGCTTGGTTCTACCCTAGGTCTCTGGGTTATCCAGTCTCTGGTTCATTTCATTGATTTTTTTTGGGGGGGGGCAGTTGTGCTTGGTTCTACCCTAGGTCTCTGGGTTATCCAGTCTCTGGTTCCTGGCCATATAGGCACTTTAGGCAGGGGTTCCCTCTCGTGGCATGGGACTCAAGTTAAATCAGTCATTGGTTGGCCATTTTCACAAATTCTGCACCACCATTGCCCCAGCACATCTTGAAAGCAGGGCAGATCATAGGTCAAAAGTTTTGTGGCTCGGTTGGTGTCCAGGTTTCTCTAGCCTGCAGAGTAACTTCCCTTACAAAGGAGACTAGAACGTAGGGGTGAAGCTTCCCTGTAGCCACCAACTTGACCTCTCCACATCCAGTGGACATTGTCCTTGGCACTGGGGCCCTGCTGTCCAGAGAGATCCTCTCTCCTAACATCAGCCTGAGTTGTTTGGGGATCATCACAGGACCTCCTTCGCCAACAGCTTGACTAAATGCAATCCTAGCCCACCACTGGAAGCCTTATCTGGCTACAAAAGATGTGCAGTCAGATTCTGTATCCTCCATTACTAGCTTTTAAATGTTTAGTAAGAGCTTGTAATGACCAAATGATGGCTGATTTTCCCCCTATATCATACCACATTGTTAGCAGACTTTCCGTTTTCCAGATTCTCAGACTTGGTGTTTCCTGAACTTACGACTTGACTCCAGTGTTCTGGCATGAATGTTTCCTCATGAAGTACTGGGAAAGTTCTTCCCAACAAGGGCTGAATAACTATTTAAATGTCACTTCTTCAACAAGGTTTTCTCTGACCACCTCTGCATGCCACTTTCCTGCTGCTTTAGCACCCAAACCCCTAGGATTCTTACTTTGTTATATAAATAAACATAACTCGCATAAAGTTATTTAAACTTTATGGCTCTTACGAGTAACCTAACCAAGAAGTCAACTGATGTTTTAACTGTTTACAAAAGCCTAGCATGTATTCTAAAAGTAATTTTAAATAATAAAACAATATATATTGTAAATAATTTTGTACAATCAAGTTTAATATATACTATATTTTCAACAATATCACGTGATTTTTTTTCAGCCTAAAGTATCTATGAATGATGGACTTTTGTTAACTAGACAAAATTTAATTGAAATATATAATGAAGTGAAATAATTAATTTGCTTATTGTCTGTTGAGTTTCTCTTTATCCTTTTTACCTTAATCATAAAAATTCATTATTCCAGGAATCTCCAAGTTAGACTTAAGGCCAGACATAATGCTGCACTCCTCACTCATTGGATATGTGTTATGGGTACCTTTCATGCACCAATGAGAAGATGTCCAATGTCAATTGCTCCATAAACCAACTCATATAACTAATCCAACAAGTTAAAAGTGTTGGTAATTGTTTTCTAACATCTCTCTAATTATACGATTGTCAGTGTGCATTCTATATTACAGCATTTTACATTAGAATTGGGTAGATTCTCTACATTTGTTCAGCTTCATGACTATGCCCTTATCCTTAATGACTTTGTTGTTAAGACCATGTATTGGGGAAAGTTTTTGTTTGTTTGGTTGTTTGTTTTTGTTTTTGTTTTAGGCAGAGATAGGTCACTCTTTTCTAATACATTAGATATAATTTCAAGCTTATTTTTTCCTTCAAGCAGTAGGAAAGTCCATCAGTATAAATCTGAATTTTGTTTTACATTTGTAATTGTGTGATGGTTTTTACAGATTTATGTCATGAATTTTAGTCACTTCATCTCCCCATTCTCCCCCCACACTGCTTCCTCTGGCTCCCTTCTTCACAAACCCTTGTCCAACTTCCATGTCTTCTTTTTGTGTGTGGCACATTGCATTTCATTATAGTTACTCGCCCAAGTATGGGTTATTTGGGAGGCAAGGGCAATTCATCTGTGGCTCCTCTACTGAAGAAATTGGCAC